ATTTTTTGTCCCCCCCCCCCCCCGGGTATGCAGTGAATCGTCGAACGATTGATCGTCTATTGTATGATTATTGACATTCTTCCAGAAATTTTATTGATAAATATATATATATAAACTTTATCGCTACCGTTGAACATAATAATATTTGGGGATATATGATTAGGGCGATACCTTCGGTATTTATTGAGGACACCGAGGATACTAGATCGAGAGAGAAAAAAGGAAGAGTATAGAAAGAGATGAAAGAGAGACTGAAAAAGAAAAATACGGGGTTGCTAGAAATATATATATATATAAGAGAGGGAGAGTTAGAGGGGTACACACAGTCGAGGGAAAGCGCGGGGGCTGATGATAGAGAGAGAGAGAGTGAGAGAAGAATCTCTTCCTTGCATTGTGAAATCGTAAAACGATTTGAGAGAACCAAGAATAAGATTAAATATTGAAATATTGTAAGCGGAAATATATGGTAAGCAAGAGAGTATAAAAAAAGAAAAACCCTTTACGTTTTCTTACTTATTACGTAAACGGTATAACGGTATACTGAATATGTATATTATGATTACGATGATTGCTATATTTGTTGTTATTGTTTCTCAGTTGTATGCGGAGACGTTTAAGAGTGATCCATTTGTACAATCATTGAGCCATTAAAATATGATTATTCATTATGGAAGCGATCGCGTCTCGCTTTCTTTATTTTTCACCCTCTTTTTTTCTGTTGCCTTCATTATCGACGACAAATACATGCAAATGACGTTTCGGAATTTCCTATTGTTTCGTATGAAATTATCGCACTGACATTATCTATGCAATTTATTATCAATTATCAATTAATTCATTGGAATAACTTAAATGCACGAGCAAATTATCAATTAACATTGTAAGGAAATTTAATTCGTTTCGTGCTGTATGAAGCTATATTATTATTATTATTGCAAACATATTTTTCAAGTATCCATTAAAAATTAAATTCACAAATATTAAATTTTTCTTGATAAATCGCGTTTTTTGTCAAATAAAAAATAAGAGAAAAATTTTAAAGAGTCGATAAAA